AGCATCGTTTTAAATAACTGTCCATGAAATACTATGAGAAAAAATCTTCATTAAAAACGGAATAACGAGAGATGGATGGGTTAAAATTTCGGTATCTTTTTGTATGAGTGAACGGATTTTTTCGCAAGTTTCTCTTTCTCAGATGGAAATTCCCGCCTCTGCATGTGTTCGCCATTCTGACCCCTTGACATTCCTTATTGTTGGGGGCATTAAAGAGATGAGAACAGCAAAATTTCTCCACGCGTCTTGGGACGACTTTCTCACTTAAAGCATTTTCGTGCGCGCGCGGCATATACATAATTTAATATAACATTATTTTTATGTATATATTACACACTATAATTAAATGAGTTAAACTAACAAAGGCTTCCTTTTGAAGTAAGATCAATTAAAGGGGTGTGTTTAGATATCAAAATAAACTTGGTCACAAGTGGACTGCGGGAGGCACTTGATGCTCGGGACGCAGTCCATCAAGAGAGGCTCCGGTGTGTAATTAGGGCAGGATTCTATTTTATTTTAGTCTATCTCAACGATTAATTGACACTAACCGGTACCTAAAATTTATCTTTTTTATTGTTTGGAATATCTTGGAAGGTAAACATGCAGTCCACTGTAAAGGCATTGTGACGGTTTGATGAATAGTCGACTCACTTCTTTTGTTTTTGTTCAAAACTAAATTGTCCAGGGGAAAAATCAAAGACTATATACTCAAGACAGGAATGAGTGTAAAATAGTCGGTAATAATACTAGCTGGGACCTCAAGGCACAGTGACGTCATTTTATGTAGTCCAGAAATAAGATGGCGCTGCAGTCGTGCTTCTGTGACGTCACGTTGTCGTCTGCATGTTTCAAAATCATGGACTACAGCCAAGAATAGCCATTTTATAATCAGTAAAATTGTTGATGATACCATGATATTTCAATTCAACTTTGTTGTCATAGATACTAAGAAATCCGTCATTTTATTAAAGAAAAAAGTGGATACTTTTTTAATACTTTTTAAAGGATTATGGATACGCTTTTACCTTTTTAGTACTTCCGTGGATACGTTTTGATTTTTCCCACTGGCAACACTGTCGCCAAGACTTCTGGGCAACGTGCTGGGTAGGTCACACCCCTGCAAGAGGAGAAAGGAGACACATCCACATTTTCATTTTCATCGGTTCCCAAAGGACAGAGATAGGTAACTTAAAACCTCTTGTGAGCTACAGTGAAAATGTGCAATTATATATTGAAATACATTTCAATTCAAAGGCAGCAGCTTCATCTGTCACTCCGACTCACTTGATACGAATTTGACAGGTGTCGCAGATGGCAATATGCCATTGACATTTCCAGAATATACGAGAAGAACTGTGAGGAATTGCACACAAGTTATCGAGTGTGCTTTTTTTCCTTCATAATATATATATATATATATATATATATATATATATATATATATATATATATATATATATATATATATATATATATATATATATATATATCTTGATAAAATCACACGGGAAAATGGATTTATCTTATTCACGTTTTATATGAAATATATATATATATATATATATATATATATATATATATATATATATATATATATATATATATATATATATATATATATATATTGTGCATGATTAATACTTAATAATAATATTAATTATTAATGCTCATTTTTATGGCAATGTTTAATATTTGTATGTATCATGTTAGATGAAATATTATAATACATGAGTAACCAAGACACAACTTAAATTTTTGGTTTTGTGTTTGTTTATTTCAATTAGATAAACAATAAGAATGCGTTTTAATAGACCAAGAACTCTATTGAAAACAAGGTCATTTATTCCCCAAACTTATGTAACGGCATGACAGGTGATTCGTCACTTGCAGTAATTGTATGATAATTATGCAAGAGAAAAGGTTTTGTCTTTAACTTCTGAACTCATCTAAGATCTTGAGGCAATGGGGTCAGTGAAAATTATATAGCAGTGTTTTCATTATCTCTTTATATGTATACATACATGCATACATAAATGAAGATTGGTGTGTCTAAAATAAATGGAAAACGTAAAAAAAATATCACTCATGACGTCACATCAACGTTTATGACGTCACGAATAGCTTCTAGACGCAGCCAATAGATGGCGCTATTATTGAGGTATCTGGCATCTGTGCGCACACATTTCCTATCTTAATAGAGTATCTTTGAGAAGAATATCCATACGGGTAACCTATCTTGTGAAATTTAAAGCTGATTATCTTAAAAAAAAGGAAAGAGTTTTGTTCTTTGTAAATATTAACTTTAAGTTGTAGCGCTAAATTCCTTCGTCGAAGATGCGTAAACTTTAATGGAAATTCGCAAGTGTGTGTATATATTATATGTCGTTGTTTTTAAATGCATTGCATTCTGAGTTGTGTATTGATATATTCTTAATAATATAATCTCAGTATCGAAATCAAATATTCTTTTCACTCACCTTCAAGTAAATCATTTTATAATCTGTTACCGAGACCATTTCATGGGTTGTGGTGTGCCTAAAATTTAACCTCGTCAGATAATGATTTTACCCCTAATTTTTTTAACTCCATAATATAGTTATCAGAATAAATATACCATAAATATGACAATTAAGATTGTAAAGCTACATAATATCTTTATTTTGTTGTTGTGGATTTCATATATTATTATGTCCATATGGAATTCTTGTCAAACCAAACTCAACCACGATTTACTGAATTTAGTTATTGCTACCTGCCTTGTACCTCGAATTGTTTCTAAGAGTACAATTTACTTGAAGGTGACTATCTTGAAACTTGACCCCTCAGTGCCGACAGCTAAGAGTAAAGCAAATATTGGCAGATAATATACCCTGTATTAGCAAACACCCACACATGCACGAACGCACGCATGACATTAGGTGTATGCAAAAATTTATACTTATTTTTTCCTAACAGTGCAGTGGTTTTATGTAATCCAATTTGATGTTGTTGAGCCCTTCTTCAAATAGAGTTTAAATTATGTTGATAATGGTTTGTGGTACTGCTGCAGGCTCGAAGCAATGTGGAAGGCACTTAGAAATTCTCTCACCTCTCCAAGCCTCTCCTTATCATCTGACCGAAAATTTTAAAGTTCTTGGACATTTCTTTACGGTGCATTAATTGTCTTATAAACCGGTAGGCAAATACTTATAAAACCTTATCATCTTTGTGTTTCAAAAGAGCTTGGTAATAATAAATAACTTACTCTACCCACTGAAGGAATGTGTGAGTTGCTACTTTTAACATTTACTGTTAAAATGTAAGGAATGGAACGAAAATCTCTGCACCTCGCCCACCCACCACCTCTTAGCCCCTCCCACTACCCAACAATCTAACGTACAGTGTGGTGCACAAACTCGAGGGTATCTTGGCCTTAATTAAAATCTTTCTTCTGGTATCTTTCTGTAATAAATATTCAGTTTATAGGGTTTTCATGTAATACATTAAATAAGACATTGATGAGTGATATGCAAGACATAAGTATCAAAGTAATATGTATACGGATTGGGGCAGTTTTCTTGGGTTCATCTTTTAGTAACGCCCAGTACGAAACTGAATCGTGTGTGGGTCAACATGTGGATTTGTGTTCGCCTCTTCGAGCGTGTAGTTTAGATAAAGTACAGCCCAGGGACTTTGCCATTGGGCATTTTACTAACCATGGAGGTGTTGTTGAAAGGTATGTCAGTGGCTATGTCCTAAATGTGCCTGTCCTGGGTAGCAGGTTAGTTAGAAATGTTGATGTGGGGTGTCCACTTGTGGAGCGTTGCGATGCGATGCTTGCGGTGGTGCCATGTAGTCTTAGCAACGGTGACAACAAGTGCCCTTTAAAACAAATCAGTTGGCCCTGGAAAATATATTTACCTTTACTATGTCAACATACAATTATGATATGATAATAGATCGTTTTTATATTGTAATACGATGAGGATTACGCGTAGCACACTGTTGAAAAATATTAAAAAGTCGTGAGAGACTTGGCAAGGTGGCTGGTCAGCTGAGCAGCTACCTGTTGAACTCACCTGAGACATTGCAGACAAAATGTTCCTTATCAAAATTTGAAACAACTTGAAGTTCGATTTTCATTAAATTTGACATTATGGATAATAGATGAGCTTAAATTCCAAGCATGGCAACCACAGTTATTGCACATAATTTGAGTAAGTAAAGGCTGGCATTAAAGGGGTGTGACTACTAAACAAGGTCGATATGTAAACAATGAGAGGGAATTCATTCTTCATAAAGGTAACACTAATGACTCATGAACAAAAGAAAAGGTAATCTGTTTTTGTATATATAGATGAGTTTCTGTGTACTAATGAATGTATTATGTAATTCAAGACACAAAATTACAATAAAAGTAAAAAATAAGAAACTAAAACAAGCATTGTAGGTACAGTAGTTGCAGTAGGTGGTGACCGGTAATAAAGTCACAGGAAAAAAAGTCACAGAAAAAAGTCACAATTTTGGCTAGGAAAAAAGTCACATTTAAGGTAATAAAACTAAAAATATTTTAAAACAGTTATTAACTGACAATACATGACTTTTACATATTGACAACACAATTTATATATGATGCACGTAGGTTAGGTTAGGTTAGGTTGGGTTAGGTTAGGTTGGGTTGGGTTAGGTGACTTTTTCCTGTGACTTTTTTTCCTGTGACTTTTTTCTGTGACTTTTTTACCTGGATTTGAATTGGTTATGTTAGATTAAGAGCTAACCTAACCTAACCAGTTAATAATAGGGCATAATACCACCTGAATTATAAGGTACATTGTCAGGTGAATTACGGGGTGTACTGTTCTTGTAGTGTCTGATGAATATTTGAGTGTTGTTGCTGTCATAAATGTGTTCTTACCTGGTTCTAATTAAAAAAAAAACTAAGATTTGATCAAACCAACATTTGCTGTCAGTAGGCCGATGTACTTCAGACACCAAAATTTATAATATTTTTTTGCTTGCAGATGAGCGTGAGGATGTTCAGAAGAAGACCTTTGCTAAGTGGATCAACAGTCAGTTAGTTAAAGGGCAACATCCACCAGTCACAGATCTTTTCTATGACTTGCGGGATGGCACTCGTCTCTTGGCATTGCTGGAGGTGCTCACTAATAAGACATATGTAAGTATTTTTTTTATATATTTAGCCTTAAATAATAGAGAATAATACTTAGGGAGCTACAGAATAGGGATGAAGCAATATATGGATATACAGTAGTATATGTTAAATACAGTACTCGGTACATATGAATCGAAACAGTCCTTGTAGCTAGAGGGTACACTGTACTGTACTGACTAGTTCCACTACTCATGAATATATATCCTGAAAATGCAATAGTGTGTGATAACTTATTTTTAACCTGTAGCTAACACTGCTTTTCATTGCAGTTTAATTTGTTTGTTATAGTTAATAATTTTACCATCAATGTTTTTGTATATAATTATTATAGTGTTGTTCTCTTTGTGAACTACAGTTTCATGCAATTTGGGATTTTCTCTCATATTTAATATTATGATACCATATTATGATCATACAGTAAGTTCTCACTTTACGTTGGGGTTATATTCCTGAAAACGCGACGTTATACGAAACATTAAGAGGATCAGTTTTCCCCATAAGGAATAGCTAAAATACGGGAGTTACGTTCCCCAGCCTCCCTTTACCCCATGAAAAACATTACATATACAGAAAATCATTGCCATTTCTTTTGAAAATAGTATATATATAGAGAACTATTAAGTTTGTATTGGTACTCACTGATGGGCGGAGCTGGTGGAGAGAGTGTGTGGTGAGTAGTGAAGCGGAGGAGGAGGGTGGGAATGGAGGCGGGTGGGAGAGGAGGAGGGTGGCGAGTCACTCAGACTCTGCGGCTGCTTCCTCCTCCTCCTGCGCTGGCTGGGGTTCTTCTGCCGCTGTTTGCTACTCCGTTGAAGTTTGCTCCTATTTGGCTGCCGGCTGTTGTGAAGAAGCTGCTTCTGCCATCCTGCGACAAACAAATGAATCCAGTGTTGACTGCTTGGTGTTGCTTTTCTTCTTCTTCTCCTTATAGATCTCGCTATAACAACCAAGACTGTCATCAATGCTGCATTGAACCTTTGAGCTATGTTCTCTGTTTAGGTCATCATCTATAAGGATTTGCATTGCTTGCTGGAACACGTTGAACGATTCTGCCAGCCTCTTGGAAGTTAGCGTTCGTTGAGGTTCGTTGTCGTCTTCAACAGGACTGTGTTCTGTTAGTTGTTGCAGATCTTCGTTGGTGAGCTCTTCTGTATGGAATACCAGGATGTCCTCTATATCCTCTGATTCCAGCTCATCAAACCCTGCCTGTCTAGCCAGGCTGAGGATATCCTTCTTCATAGTTGGGACTAAGTCGGTGAATCCTGTAAAACTATTGACGCACTCGGGCCACAGTTTACGCCACACACCATTCAGGCAACTTTCTGAAACCTCTTCCTATGTCTTGCCAATGTTGTCAATTGCATGAAGAATGTTGAAGCGACGCCAATATTCTTGGATTGTGGGTTTATTTTCTCCGTCTGTAGCCTTGAGCAGCTGGGCCATGGTACAGCGTAAATAATATGCCTTGAATGCGGCGATGACGCCTTGGTCCATTGGCTGCCTCAGTGCTGTCGTGTTGGGAGGCAGAAATACAATTTTTACACTGTCATGCAAGTTGTCGAGATTGGGAGGATGAGCTGGAGCATGGTCAACGATCAGAAGAATTTTGAAGTCAAGGTTCTCTTTGGCACAGTATTCCTTCATTGCAGGGACGGCGTACATGTTTAACGACTGGCTAAATATGGCACCGGTTATCCATGCCTTCTTGTTTGCCTTGTAAATGACAGGAAGGTGATCCTTAGAGAAACCTTTGAAGGCCCGTGGGTTAGCAAAACGAGAAATCAGCATAGGCTTCAGCTTGAAGTCGCCAACAGTGTTTGCGCCAAGCAGCAGTTTCAAGCGGTCTTTTGCCACTTGGAGATATAGGTCCTCTCAGGCATGATCTTCCAAAAGAGACCAGTCTCATCCACACTGAAGACTTGCTTCGATTAGTAGCCTCCTTCCTGGATAATCCGTTAGAATTTTGGCGGGAATGTCTCGGCAGCAACTGTATCCGAACTGGCAGCTTCACTATTCATCTTAATATTGTGGAAGTTATACTTGCGCTTAAATTATTGAAACCAGCCTCAGCTGGCCGTTAAGTTCTCTTCCTTGTATCCTTCACCCTCTTCTTCCTTTATGTCATCAAACAAGGATATGGCCTTATGCTGGTTAACCATAAGGCTCACAGGCACATTGCATTGATTCTGGTCCTCCTTCCACATAGCCAGCATCTTTTCCACTTTTTCTATCACAGTACTTCTAGTACGAGTTGTTTTAGTTGCACTGAGAGTAGTACCACTTCCAGCACTAACCTTAATCTTGTCAGCGTTGGTCCTGATAGTATGCACCGTTGTGGGGGTTAGACCAAGCACAGCGGCTATGTCCACAGCACGTTCCCTTTTTTCAAATCGGGTTAATACATCCATTTTCGTAGCAAGGGTAATGGTCTTACGTTGCCTCTTCACTACAATAGCATCGGTAGCACTTGATGGGTGCTTGGAAGCCATTTCGAATGGCTATAGTACAATTTTAGAGCAAAAGCACTTAAGCACACACTAATGATGTGAAGTCGTAACAGAGAGTGGCTTGGTGTTGCTTGGGGATGCTGTGATGTTCCATGAGTGAGGGCAGAGCTCCGAGCCGGAGAGCGTAGCGAGGTCAGACGAGTAGGTTATGCACCGTAGAAAGTAGTCCGTAACCACGCAAAACAATGTAGTATCGGATCCCCTGGACGTTAAAAATTTTTTTGGTCTCTAAAGTTTAGCGACATAGTACCGAAACAACGTTAAGCGGGACGACGTTTTACGAGGATGCACTGTATATGAATATTAAGGCAAGTCCTGGTTTTGCTTAAATATTTTGATCCAGTCATGCCAAGAAATAAATCTTACCTAGGCAAAATTAAGGGAAAACTGCATTATATATATTGCGGTACAGTGCTACTTTTTGGAGGATCATTACTCACCCCAACTACAGAATTACATTATACTGGAAGGTGCAGTATTCTGTACAGTGTATGAGAGAATTCAGTAAGATGGGTGATGATTGTAGAAGTGTACAGAACAGGGTATAAAATAGAAATGGGATATCCAAATCTTTGTTAGATATTGGTTTATTTATTAATATAAACATAATATACTGAGCTTTATCGTCTTTTTCCAGAAACGTGAGAAGGGCCGTATGCGTGTTCACCACCTGAATAATGTGAGCAGAGCATTGAATATCCTCGAGGAACACAGTGTAAAGCTGGTCAACATATCTAATGAACACATTGTGGATGGCTCAGCAAAACTCACATTGGGACTGGTGTGGGCCATAATTTTACATTGGCAGGTTTGTAGCATTTTTATTGAACAGAAAAATGATAACTAAAAGAGTGTTTGGTAGCCAAAATAAGTCAAGATAATGCCCTCTAAAAGGAAATTGGTTGATAGAACTTTGATATTTGTGTAACTTTATAACCTGTGCCTTGTGTAGGTACCGTAATGTTTCATTTTAACAACAGTAAGATATTATCTGAAAATTATTACAAAACTTGAGGTAATAATTAAAGCACATACTGTATTGTACATAGAATATTGTATTTTCTTGTCTCATACATTGTGTTTTAAGAAAGAAAATATTATTTTAAAGTACAAAAGAATCTTTCCTCCTGGTTGTCTGTATTGGAAGTTTTATTTTTAGGCCGAGACATCACGTAAAGATTCTACTCCAAACCATTCAGCCACTTTCATATATTTATATTTCAAACAGGTTCAAGGAGTCCTGAAGGATGTGATGTCTGATTTGCAACAAACCAACTTAGAGAAAACTCTACTTGCATGGTGCAGACAAACCACTAAGGTGCGTACAGTACTGTACTTACTTCGTGTTCACACTTTAATTGATTGGTAAGTAAAACAAAATATTTTGTTATTCATTTATTTCTTGTCCCTTACAGCTCGAGAATTTTGGAAATGGCTACAAATAACAGATTATTTTCCTTTGACAAAATTTAGTGTTTTGAATGTCTGTATTTAAATTTTCTTATACAGGGTACCAGCTAATCTTCTACTCTAATAGTATTGATAAGTTTATACTGAGCAAGATTGTATACTGTACATGTACAGGGTTTACCTTTTAGATTATCTTAGTTTTTATGATGCATCATGTATTTTTTGTTTTCAGTGTAGTACAGTTTAGCAATTGTAAATGTTCATGTTTAATGGATAGTAATATGAGAAAAATTATAATTTATGAATATTTACTGTATTTTTAAGTAGTATGTTTCTTTATACTAATATATTTTAAGTTTATGACAGAACGGCACAAAGAATGTGAACCTTAGCATACACATAGGTATTTTTCACAAGAAAATTGATTGCTTATTAATAGCTGAAAATTTTACAAGAGTGCATCTATTATTTCTCTTAACAGGGATACCATGGAGTAGATGTTCGAAACTTCACCACTTCATGGACAGATGGCCTTGCCTTCAATGCGCTTATTCATAGTCAACGACCCCAGCTATTTGACTGGACCGTGTTGGCAAGGAAACACCCATATGCTCGTCTTGAGAATGCCTTTAGGCTTGCTAATGAGCAATTGAACATTGAGAGACTTTTGGATCCCGAAGGTAAAAAATATGTACAGTGTATTCCTTAATGATGTTTTCTTCCAAGTAATAATTTCTCATGACAATGATTTATTAGTTAAATTCTACCTTTACTCCATCTCTGATCCTTGACAATTTGGTGCCCTGAGTTAACCTAAGATATGTTTATTTTATCATCATGAGACTGTGACAAAATAATTCAAGTGGCTTTTATATGAAGTACAGTGATATCTCTGTTAGCCAGAACAATTGGTGCAGAGCACTTTCGGGAATGAGAGATTTCCTGGTAACGAGACGACTCTCTCAAAGCTGGAATTTTCCTGGTAAAACAGAAAAATTTTCTCAGAAGTTCCAGATATTGCTCATTACATCACCTCTCGAACCCGGACAAATATCCCTCACCCCCGGAATTTTCCAGGTAATGGAAAAATTTTCTCTGAATTTCCAGAAAATGCTCCTGATTTTCTTCTCTCAAACCTGGAAAAAAAATCCCCTATCCCTGGAATTTTTCGGGTATAGGGAAAATTTTCTCTGAATTTTCCAGAAAATATGCCCCTCGGAAAATCGTTCCCAAAGCTGTAATTTTCCGGAAAATTCCAGCTTTGGGAACGATTTTCCGAAAAATTTCAATTCCTGCTATCGGAGAGTTCCAGGTTTGAGGGATTCCGGCTAACGGAGATATTACTGTACTGAAATAATGTGAGTGTGTTTATCCACTTTGTGAGTCAACAAAGGTTGAGCATGAATAGATTATATTTCATCAAGATTTGTATACAGTATTTTGCATTATTTGTAACTCTTTTTTTTATGAAGCATAATACTGTATACTGTAAATGTTCTATCTCAAGTTGATGGGTACATATGACTGATAGTTTAAAGGGTAAAATGCAATTGTGTTTTTCACAATGTTGTCAAAAGATTTTTGTTGATAATTATAAAAACAAAAGAAGAACCTATAAATCAAGTAAGATATTTCATTTCGAACTATATTGATTTAAAGTTTTATTTAAATTTTTAAAGCTCTTTATCATCTTAGACAAACTACGGTACTGGTACTAAAAGAGGATTAGGGTATAGCATTAACAATTAATCACTGTGTTCTTATGGTATTGTCCCCTAAAGCATGCAGCACTGAGATAAAGGATATTTTGCTTTTAGTGTACCTTATATTCAGGAAGTTTAGTCCTTGGTTATATTGAAAATGCAGTATACATTCTTGAATTAAAATGAAAACTTTAATTGTTCTTAATCATAATGACTGTCTCCTGTTGCAGATGTGAATTCCCAAGTGCCTGACAAGAAGTCAATTATGATGTATGTGATGTGCCTATTCCAAGCTCTTCCTCATGAATCATTCACTATGGAGAGTTTGGATGTCTCTCTACAGTCAGATTCATCCTTTAATATTGAGGTGAGTCAATCATCATGCAATATGTTAACATTTTAAGGGCTATTGATTGTAAGATTATATATTGCAAAGGTATCCAGATGTTTCGCCCTTTGCCAGTTCGCCGTTTTTAATACAACTCTCAAAACAAAATACTGAATTATTTATATATATTTGGGGCATAGGTGTTAAATGTCTTTGGTACTGATGCTATGGAGGAGATATGAATCAGGATTTTTGTGAGGATTCTATTTTTGCTGTTGGCTTTAAATGCTATGGAAGACAGACATGGTGTTGATGATGGCTGATTATGTTAATGATGAGGGTTCTTCACATACCATCCTCTTTTGAATGAAGAAAAGTACATGAAGATGATGATAGAAAAAAGTGCCAGAGTACAGAGTATGTTTTGTTGTTTGGAGGTTAATACTGGCATAATCAAATATTTATATTGACTCCTTATACAGTATTCATGACGTGTTTGATTTTGATTTACAGGGCAGTAGTGATGACCCCCTCCGTGCTGCTGCTAAGGCTCGACCCCTGTCCACTGTTAGTATAGGTTTGAGTGAATATCAACGAACATTAGAAGAAGTTTTGACATGGCTGTTGGGAGCAGAAGACAGACTGGCTGCCATGCCTCCAATTGCTGACACGACAGAGGCAGTGAAGGACCAGTTTCATGATTTAGAGGTATTTATTTAGTTAGTTGAACTTATGCAGTGTGATACATTACTGCAATACAGTACAGTACTTGGTATTAGTCAGACAGTAGTATCATAGCCATTAGTAATTTTCTCAAGCTTATGTTCTTTTAATTTTCCTCCTTTAGCATAATTAGGGTACAGTGAGTTCTGCTACAACGCGTGTTTTGACAACGCGAATTGGCTCTAACGCAATTTATGAATAGAGGAACAATATTTGTATAACGCGAACGCTTGTTTGCTGTAACGCGATTTTTGCTTACTATTTCTCCAATTTTGTGGTATTAACTGTGAATATGGTAAAGAAGGATATCTCCAAGAAGCGTTTTGGTGATCGCATTTCCAGTGATGATCGTAAAAGAAAGGCTATAACCCTTGAAGAGAAGCTCGATGTTATCTACCTCAAAATCACCCTTCTCCCCTATCAAGTTATATTCATATTTTTTCAAGGTAAAGTGTTACATCTACTGTATGATTTCATTATTAGATATGAATATAACATTTATTTAGACTGTACTATCCTTTGTGTTAGGCTAACGACTAAATTTTTTTCGATTTCGAGTAGTAATCTGCACCTAACCCATTTTCTCCATAAGCCCTGTTATTTCTATTACGCGAATTTTTATAACACGATGTTTTACAAGAACACAACTATCGCGTTATAGCAGAACTGACTGTAGACTGTTTCTTGCAGAATACTAACAAAATTATTATGAAGAATTACTTAATCACTTAAAACATAAAATGTAATATTATTTCCAGGAACTAATGCTGGAGTTAACATCGAAGCAAGGTGGCATTGGTGACGTGCTTGGAGAGGGATCACGGCTAATGAGAGAGGGAGTGATGGAGGAAGAAGAGGAGGAGGAGGTTAGGGTGCAAATGAAGCTTCTTAACACACGTTGGGAAGATCTCAGGGTCAAGGCTATGGACCGACAATCACGGTAACTATAATTTTTGAAGATGCTAAAAAAAAATCTAGTCAAGCTTCCAAATTGATATGTTTTGAAACAGTTGGAATAATAAATACAGTAGAAAGAATCTCGCTGATATTTTGGGGAGCTAAGACCCAACAATGAAGGTATAATTACACCAGGGTGTGTTGAATAGAGTTCCTCCTTGAAGGCACCTTAAATTACTAGATCATATTCACACTAACTGTGGGTGGTCTTATATCATTCTTTGCATTACAGACTACATGAGAAGTTGATGAGTCTGCAGCAGAAGCAGCTAGAAAGCCTAAAGAAATGGTTGACTGAAACAGAAGATCGTATTGCTAATATGAGTCAGGTATGTAATTACAGTGCAGTATTCCGGTATTTCTTATGATATTTAGTTTACAGATATGATTTTAAGCTGAAGTTGTAAATTTTGTGTGTAGTTTATGCATAGAGTTGAATTTGTACATATTTTGTAGTTTAAAAGAATATTATGTTTTGGAGTCACATGAAGACAAAAATCTCTTCAGATACCAAAATAATATTCTTAAGAATTTTTTACATTTAATATAGTTTTGGGTATATCTTGGCAATATCACGAATGTGTCATGGAAATTCAATTGAAACTCCAAACTATTCTGAATTATCCCAGCAAAGAGAGAACAAGCCAAACCAACAGCCTTAAATTTCACATGTTCTGCTCAATGTCCTTAGTCCTCCATGGGACCTTAATGACAGTTCTACATCCCATCATCCGTTTATCGCGCCCTGCAACCGTCCAGTTCATTCGCCTGCCGAACGTCCGTTTCCTATATAAATATTTTACATTAGTTAATAGATGTAACATTTAACAGACAGAATTCTTGGTTTTGCAGCTTCCAGAAGAATACTGTAGTCATGGTGTTGAATATTTTGTTTATTAAAGTTTTCCTTGTATACACTTACATTACTAAGATTGTTGACAAATTTGTTTATCATTAGAGTTTGAAATTTTACTATATACTGTATGCCTTTGTTGTTCATTTCCCACCAGCTTATTCAACTCTAGAAGATGAATTGAACGCTCTGGGTGAGAGATGGGCACACATATGCCGCTGGGCAGAATCACGCTGGGCAACTTTGCAGGTATGGTAGACTGACATTGAAATACCAGTTTAGTCAAGGTCTCAGTATAAACTAACAAATTTTTAGTTGGAATTGATTGAAACTTAGTAGACCATCTTGCACATCTAGCTATATTGTATTATGTTGCAGTAAATGATCTTAAGCCCAGCCTTCTCTTAGAAAATTTATCCTGACTGTTTACACCATAATCATTCTGACTGGTTTCAGACACTATCAGTGCACTGGGAGCATTTTGAACAAGAAATAGAAAAGTTGCGTCAGTGGCTAAACGAAAAGGAGACTTCTCTTCGCCAATTTGAGAGTGATCCATCGACTGAACAAGAACATATCCTACGACATGCCAGTATGCTGCAGGTAAGAGGCTATTAGTGATAGTATACTGTATCAAAGACCAGTGCCCTGTCATCACTGAGCAGAGTTACTAAATAAGGATTTGAAAATGTTTATTATTTTCTCTTGCTATAAGGCTTCCCTTTGTTCCCTCCTTTGCTTTCCATAAGTCATATTCATTAATGTTATTTTCATGTGTAAAGTATTGTATGTGAGTAAATAATGCTTCTTATGGAGGTTAATGATTTCAGAACACTGGCATTACCGTTTAATGTGTGCTAAAAATTCAGAGGTCACTATGAGCTGTGTGATTTAGTTAGTTTAGACAATCGATCTCTAAATGAAAACCATGATTATATATCTATTATAAATATATGTACAGTACGTATTTTCAAAGAACTGGAACAGTCTGTACTATTGCATTTATTGTATTTATCACCTTGAGTATATCCTTTTGGTGCCTCCTATGTGCCTCTCTGTGTAAAATTAAATATGCATGAGAGGGTGAAGTGGATCTGGGTAATAATAAATACACAGAAATTAGAGTGCTAAAGTTATAAACAATCAAAACAGTTGTTAAAGCTGTCATCTTTTGGATAATATGAGCACACTGTGATTTATTGCAGGTTCTGCAAGCAGAGATGGAGGTACAACACCGACGACATGCTCATCTCCAAGAAGAGAGTGGCAAAGTTTTGAGTTACATTCCAGAAGGGTCCCCAGCCCATGAAAATATATCTACAGATATTGAAAGTATACAAGATCGAATGGACTGCCTTCTTAGCATAATTGAAGCACAGACTCAAAGGGTATGTGTGTTTCACTCTGTTTTTGTTTATGATGAGATTTTTCTTGAATTCTATCTTTCAACATTTTAATTTCACACTAAATTACATTTAAGCTGATTTATCCATCAGCAAAAGACAGTAAATAGTTTTTTGTATGTAGGAAGTTCCAAGTGTAGATGGAACATGTCATTTCTAGTCATCCAACACACTCAGCACACACTATTAACCTGTGGATGTTCCAATTAGAAAAGGTCATCCATCAATATCAAGATTAATATTCTAGTTCTGCATATCCTTGAGATGGAATTCATATACAGTATAGGTCAATGCTTGAGTAGGTGTACCTTTAGGAGGAGTAAGTGGACAAAATTTAGGAAATGTAGACGGTTTTTAGGCTATTGCCCATTCCAGGGTCTTCTCTGTGTGTTGAAGCACCATATCAATAATTAGTATTTCTCCTTAAGCTTCCAAACTTTTATAGAAGATGAACAAGTTTGAGGCAAAGCAGTGTAGTATTTATAAATTGTGAGAAGAGAATGATGATTACTGCTGTGAGAATAGGTTAAGAGGAAGCATAAAAGAAAACTGTAAAAAATAAAGTTTATAATTTTCTTTTCTAGCTGGCAGCAAGTGGGATTGATATTACCAAAGTGATGGTCCCAGTTGATGGTTCTAGTGATGTTGTGAGTTCTAGCACAACTACTATCTCGCACGAGGGTGCCACTGTTATCACCAAGATCATCACAACAAAGGTTACTGAAACGGTGAGTCGGTTTTGCTTTTAGATATGATAACAGCATGTATTAGGTGTAGTGAAACTGCAATCATCTTATGCTAATTGTAACTTTTAAATTTAACAATAAATCGTCAGATGGGAAAGGTTTATAAAAGTTGGTCATATTAGTGAACTTGCCGTGTCATATTATCTAAATACAGTACAGTAATATGACCAATTGTAATTATGCCATCTTATGATTAAGTTTATAAGTGCATAAATTTATTTTTAATTCTGTACAGCAAAAATAATGATTTTTTTTTTTGGAAAAGTTGTGACTACTGTAACTTTTTTCAATTTTAGTTTGACTAGTTGGGCTTAGTAACTGATTTTGTATATTATTGGCTTATTGTATGCTCTAAAAATGTCATTAAAAACAAGTTTTGTGTTATTTTAAGAGGTGTTGAATCTTTTATTGTTTATGAACATATTTTTGCTTTTAAAATGTGAATTTATGGGATATGTGATCCTATTTACAAACAAAAATATTATTTACAATATATTTTTTGGGAACGGAACACTTTCATAAATCACCTAATGCATGTAGGTGTATCTGATAAAATGAAACTATTCTTGAATTTTTTCAAGCAGGTTACGGGCAGTGTTGTCAAGCGCCAGAAACTTGAAGGAGGCAGTCAGGAGGATTTTTCTGTAGCACTTCATCAGTTGGGTGGTTGGATGGATTCAGTGGAAGCCCAAATCAAACCAAAAGCAATTGAAGACCTTTCTCTTGACCAGCTTGTTCAACTTAGTCAACAGCTGGAAAGTGAAGTAAGTAATTTACATGTATGACACCATTGATACTCTGAGTTATGTGTCAGATGCAATATTGCCTTTATGTGTGATCATTGGGTATATTCGTATATAGTAAAGGTAAGAAAAGACAAATATTTTAAAGATATTAATATGTTATATTTCCCTTTCTTTCTTTAGATGGATGGTCAGAAAGAAGAGTATTACAAAGTGGTTAGTCTTGGACAGTCAGCAATTTCTGAGACATCTACCATTGGAGAATCATCACAAGAAAGTGAACGGCAGGTGGCAATAGTATCTAGCCGATGGGAAGCCTTAATGGAAATGCTTGTTGAAATTAGGTAATGTTTTAATGATAAGCTTGTCTCAACTTCTGCAGCCATGTTCTTTGCATAAGTATTGAGTTGAATTATTAAGTAAAAAAAATTTTTTAACATTTTTATTTGTGTTTATTCATGATACTATTTTAGAAGTGAAGCAAATTGGTTCTTGCAAAATTGTACTCTACTAGATCCACCTCTGGATATCTGAAATACTCCACTTATCCAGTTTATCTGATTTAAAATTAACATTTATTTCTTCTTGTCTCCTTTCTCTGTATATTTTCCTTACTTTTGTTTACATTCACCCTTACTTTATGCCAGTTACTTGTCAATAAGTATCATTCTTCTTAACTTTTGATTAATGATATAAGTTCTGTTTACTTAATGGCCTTTGTCATATTCTCGTGCAGGACCCGCATCACCTACTTGAATCAGAAAAAGAGGGTAACCACAGATCTAAGTGATCTTGAGGTACACTATCAGGGCTTTGTACGATGGTTTGAGGATGTCCGCACTGTAAGTGAGAATGAACCGAATGCTGTCACACTTCAGGCAGAGCAGTGTAAGGTTAGTAATGCTGAGATTTTATTTGTGACATAATTGTGTGTGTGTAAGAGAGAGAGAATAAAGGGAGACACTGGAGGATATACACAAATCTTGTGCACATATTCTGTTGCTAGATAAAACAGAATATAGTTTTATTGTGAATTATTGTATTTTGAGCTTTGATGTATCCTAAATTGATACCATAATTAATTATTCATTTTATTTCAGACAAAAATTGCTGCAATGGAAAGTCATAATGAAGATATTGCAGCCTTGAAAGCATCTACAAAAACACTGAATCAAAAATGGGAAGAGGAATCGCAGCCTCTAGTGCAGCAGATAACCGCCTTCCACACCAAATGGGAAAACCTTATGCAAAGGTGAGAATTAGGGAACTAATAGATTTATAAAAGAGAAAAGTCATTAGATTTAAAGAAGTATTTGATTTAGAGCGTATTGACTGAATTTAAATTGTTGATTAATATTACTGTAGTTGAAAAAGGTTAGTTGTTTGTAACCTGCACATCCAGGAATTTTGAAAGGAATGTGATGGATTATGTATACTTTTTCATTCATTCTTAACAGATTTTTGGAGTGGAATGAAACACTGGGAGAGATGCAAGCTCAGGCTGTGACTCCAACAGTTGCACCCTTGGCACCTCCCCCTGAGTCTCTTCTTAAAGCCATGGATGCCTCTGGAAAGTGGCTGGAGAGTTTAGAAGCAGCATTGGCATCTGAATATTCTGCCAGCACTCTTCCACAAATGCAAGATCAGCATATCAAGTTCAAGGTAATTTTGTCTCTATGTGTTGCTACCATCTCAAATGGAAGTCAATAGGAGTACTGTACCTGTACATGTGTTTTATCCATACTTTTTTTTTTACGGGAATTAGCCTACTCAGGCACAGGTCGAACAACCCACAATGGGGCCTAGGGGGCGAAAAATAAGAACAGAAATAAATTAAAAATAGAGAAGAAAAAGGTTATACTGTGTTAATCTACACCATGAAGATGTTGGAAAACCAGCTTTTTAAAGTGAGACAGATTGTATAAGTATGGAAACACAGAAGAAGGCAGAGCATTCCACAGTTTGGCTGTGTCAGTTCATTTCCTTCTGTCTCTGTCCATGCATCTGTCTGTTTTTGGGCTGGGGGTGTTGTGAATATGGTAACTCAGTTAAATAGTAATGGATTTAAACCAAACATGGAATGTGTATGAACCATAACAGGATAAGAGGGGAGTTCAGTACAGGTAATTAGCATTTTGAGTCACTATTTAGCCAGAGCTATGTCTGACATTTTGAATATTGCTGCAATGTAGTTTGAAGTTGCCCACCTTTACTGACAATCTTACCTTATTGGGGCACTTCACTACAGCCTGCTTTCCAGTGACACTTATTCAGTCTCTTGAAATCTACTTTAGGTTTCTCACCATGTTTGTCCAATATACATGTACCTATATACACTACAGTACAGTACCAATATCATCTGTGAACCTCACTTTCACTTTATTCTGCAAAGATGAATAAAATATTTTTTGAAGATGGAAACATATATAATATTTGTATTTTCAATATTAATCTTATCATTTATATTTCCAGGATTTATCTCAGAAGGTGGAGATGGAGAGGGGAAATATGGCTCACATTAATGAAACATGTAATAGGCTCTCTCAAGATGGTCATGTTAACATAATGGAGGATATTACAAAATTGAATAAACAGTGGGAAACTACCACTGAGTCTCTTCGGTTACGTATTCAAAACATTGAGAAAGGTAAGACTTTTTACTACACTGCTCTTAATGGGTTTGAGATAGAAATTATTGTACATTAATTGATCATTATTGCAAAGGTCATTAATTATATGGTATTATTGCCATCAGGAATGTTGAAACAAAGTTATACAGCTGGATTCCCTTCCTAACACCAACCCACTGGGTGATGTTAAATGAATTATGGTTGTATAAGTTCAACAGCATGCCATAGCCAGATGAATTTGAAATGAGTAGCTATGTAAGTCCATATTTGGAACTTCATTTCTTCTTGTGTTTTGGGTCTTAATCCATACTTTTAGTGAAGCAGAGTAACTTTGCTATGGCCCATATTCTTACAAAGGATTTGACAAAATGTGTGTGCCAACTGACCTTCAAAGGGAAAACTCATACCAAGTGTATTATGCAGCTGTCAAGAATATCTTGTTAGCTATAGTAAGCATTACTAAGCGTGCTGGTTCTTTTACGTAACTTAAGCACTCCTTGGTTTGGTACATATTAAACTGGCTTTTTCATGAATTCACATTATGTAATCTGAATATGTATGTATTTTACAGTGATGGAAAAACAGAAGCAATACAATGATGAAGTATCTGGTTTGAAGTCCTGGCTTGATGAAGTTGACGTTTTCCTGCAGGCTGAAGAGGCCGCTCTGGGGGACATTGAAACTTTGGAAGCTCAGTTAGAGCAATCCAATGTAAGTTATCAGTCATCTTGTGTACATCTAGGTAGTCCCATGTTATGTTGAAAAATGTATCAATTATTTATTAGTTACAAATATAATGGAGATTCTGAGAAATTTGATACCAGTGTTTGTCTCAGATTTTAGATATGTGCTATATTACTGTATAAACAAGGGTTAGTTTGGTCTTTAAAGATTGTTAACTAATGGATAGCCATTTAAGTAATTTTTTTAAATAGGAGACTAAAAATTAGTCATAACACTCGATGAACACTTATTATAATTTTTTTTCTATATTCATAAATGCAATAAAACTTTTCCTTTCTTCAAAAGTTTTCCCTCATTCTTCATAATGCAGATAAATGTCAGTATTTGGAATGTAAATATATTGTATATTTTAAACCTACCTTTCTATAATAATTTTAAAGATGCCTCCTCTCAACACACACACACTCACAGGTATTATTAAATGCTCCATGTTGATCATTTGATTGTTGTGTGATTATGTAACATAAAAAGAGTATTATTACTTTCCCAACAGGCCCTTCAGGATGATGTGGCAACTCTTCAGACTAACGTGTCCAACATCAAAACTACTGGAAAACATCTCATCGAGGAGGGTGATTCGGAGCTTAAGAGTATCATTGAGAACCAGCTGGACGAGCTAACAAATCGTTGGAATCTGGTAACCGAGCTTGCAAGGGCACAGAACAAGAGTTTAAAAGAAGCTCTTACAAGGAGTCAAAAGGTTACTTTTTTAAAAGTTTTATCTCCCAAGAAATTTTATTTTTGTACTGTACTTTACTATTGAAAACGTTTATGAATTATGAAACTTGTATGAAGGTCTGTTTTTTCTTTAAGGACTCAAAAGATTTCTTTCTATAAGTGGAGCACTTACCACAGCTATCTTGGCAGGCCTAAATGGAAAAAATATATATACTGTACATGGAAAATATATTTAGTTTTTGTTTATACAGTACAGTATTCATATCCATTTCATTGTACATGCTCTTGTATTACAGTATTCTACATTATGAATATAGAGAGGACAGCTTTTTCAATCTTATTAATTTAAGGCTGGTTAGGGAAAGTACCAACTCCAATGCAATTGCTGTATTTGATTTTGTAAAATATAATTCATATATATTTTGTTCATACAGGTACATGATGGTATTGATAAGCTCAATTTATGGCTTGATGAACTTGAAGCAAAAATTCCCAGCAGTTTACCAAGAAACACTCCCCAAGAGCTTAGTCATGCGGTTGAAATATTTACTCAACTGCGAGAGGATATAAGTCTTCATAGTGATGAACTGAGAGCCATCAATAACATTGGTAAGTGTAATGGGTGAATCTCACCTTATTTTTGGCTACATGTGAAAAGTGTACAGCACACTGAAAAGTTATTAGGGTTCTGATTTTCATGAATTTGTTTACCTTTATTTTTCTTATAGGTGATGAACTGTTACAAGTTGACTCTTCAGCCACACATGAGGAACTGGCTAGGCGGTTCACTCAGCTCAATGGTAGATGGACAGAAGTTGTAAGCCAAGTTGACTCAAGCTATAAAGTTAACATCACTGCATCTCAACAATATGAAGATTTTAAGAGTAAGTTGCTGAAATATATCTTTCCGCTTGTGAAGTATTTTCATTATGTATAACAATTGTTCTGTGTTATTATTACCCTTCAGTGATGTCACAGTTATTGGATTTAAGCAACAGTGTACCATGTTACCCCCACCTGTTAGAATTTTTCAATAATTAGATATTCTGGCAGGCTTTACATGTTTCATGGCTCTCCAGGTCTCTTCTTTTATGGTTTCCATGTAACTTTTCTTGGGTTCTTGAATTAACTTTGTTCATATGCAGGGAATACAGTAGTAGGTGTCTTTAATATATTGTTGTTACATTTAATTACATTTTTCTAAAACAACAACATGACTAAAAATTTTGCTTTTGTTTTCAGAGGTGTGCTCTGAGGAGTCTGAGTGGTTGGACCAGCTACAGGCAAAACTTGAAAGGTCATCAAAAGATGCAGCTGATGCTGAGGAAATTTCTGAGGCATTGGATGTAAGTGCTGTACTTTTTGGTATAATGAAATTCTTAGTAATACAGGATGTCATGTCTCTTTTTGCTTCTTCTCTTTGTGTAAGATATTATGGATCTGTTTGCCATTTCACTGTGGAACCATTATTTTGGATGAGATGAAAGAATTAGTCTCTCTCTTCCAATGATGATAATTATTTCATGTTTTTATTAATATTCTAGCAAATTTAGTAGTGTGCAACCCCCTTTAAAACTCCAAATGATGTACGAGTGATATTTTTCTGCTCTTCGTCTTTTTTTCCCCTAACTTAGTACATTGTTTCACTGTTCAGCAGGGTGGCTCAAAATTGCACAAACATAACAGAGAAGTGTACTTACCTAATGTACGCCTTAGAATGGGATAAGTTCTCTAGTGTTACATATTAAATGCAAAGTGGCCAGAATCAAGAGTAAACACACGCAAACATTCTTAGAATTTCCTCTAATTTACTGTCATTAATTCATTCTTACAACATTAATAGATGTGTTCTGCTATTCCCCTTCCACAACAAGATCACAATTTCATCATCCATCAGCAGTAACATTCATCCCCCTAAAATCACTTGAGACTTTGCTTTCCTATTATTCATGCACATCTAAATATATAATAAGTACACCTTCCTCTTTGTTAGGAATTGGAAATTTTCCTGCATAGCCATGATGAGAGGCGACTGGAGCAGATCAGGAATCTTGCAGAATCACTTGTCAGTGAAAGCTGTGTTGCTGAACCTGTACAAGAAACCACTCACTCCCTTACATGTCGTTTTGATACTCTTAATGCCCAGGTGAGATCAGGAAATTGGCAGATGTATTATTTGTTCAAGAGCAAAATGACTGAATTTTGTGAGAGGTTTGAAGGCAAAGGGGGAACACATACAGATTTTTCCTTTTGAAGAGTTCCTGTATGGCACATTCAGTTGTATAGCAGGAAATAGAGTATAATGAAGATATTATTTTATCATAAAATAATTTTTCTTGGGGAGTTTCCTCCACTATGCAGCTCTTGTTACATATCATACCTGGAATGTGGGGCTGGTCCATCATGCTTTACCCCCAAAACAGCTTGGGCTGATCTTAGGATCACCCATACCCCTCATTATAGTCATAGACCTAGAAAAGGGAGATAATATGGAAAGGTTGCTCTCTGGAGGTGGGAGGTCTTATGGAGTTTGGGTCCAGGTTGGCAATATGCATCTTCCTCCAGAAGGTAACTTCTTTGTCTAATCCCCCCTTTTGAGGGTTAGGTGAGCGTAAGACCAACCCCCAGCTGTCTTGGGGGTAAGACATAATGGATCAACCACCCATTTCAGTCATGCACAGTGATGAGAGCAGCCTGATTATGAGCTTGGCTAGAAAACAGGATTTCAGGATCAGCCCCCAACTTTTTTTCCAAATACAGTATAAAAAAGATGTCTTATTACCATCTCAGGATTAGTTTTTAGTGGTTAGTAAGTACATTTTTAACTCTTGGTGTAATTTTATCATTGAAATACAAGAGTAGTAGAGAATATTTCAGTATGCATTTCCCTAATGAAAAGTTATGTTTTCTCTCAGAAAAGTAAATCACATAATTCTGCCTTGTGACCTTAGGGAGGCCATTGGTCATATTTTTATTGTACAATTCAAAATGGATTTGAGGAATGCTTGGCTTCCTGTAAAAGCAGATAGACGGAATTAATTTGGCTTTTAAAAGTGCTAGGGCCTCTATAGGGCTGTAGCCAGAAGTGTTTGTTGAAGCAGTAGTTACATAAATGCAGCTACACTACTGGATGAATGTTCAAGCCTTTCATCTGTAAAAATTGGTCATTTAGAAAGATATGAACGTCATCTTACTAGTTTTTCACAGTAATGAGCCATGTTAAAGCGTATTGGTGCAGCAGTGTGTGTGTGCGTGCTGTGTTTTGGCTACAACCCTGTAGATGGGTTAGATTTCTTTTCACATAATTTTGACAGACACACACACACACTCAACTGGATAATTAGGTATTCCACTGTATGTGTAGGTGTTTAGTAATACCTTTCAAATAGGATTATTTTATATGCAAGGTTAAAATTGTTACTGTTGTATAAATTTATCTTTCTCCCGACATGCTTACAAAGCTCACAAGTCTTTTCTGTCAAGCATTTGTAAGTTGTACATTACTTCCTAAGGAGTCAACTTCATATGGTAGGCATAGGCAGTAATGTGGCTGAAGAAAGATGAATGTTGCATTTTGCTTGGACTTTATTATAAATGTCTTGTTTCCAGTTTAGAGCTTCATTATTTTGAGGATGCTTCATTAGTTTTGTTTGTTTTATGTTTGTTGATTTTTTTTTTACACTACTGTACATTACTATATTTTTTACTCTAGCATTTATTAGTTGCTGCATTTGCTTCAGATCTCTTCAGTTTCTATCAGTATGAAAATCTTCATTGATTTGATCAATTCTGCAGTTGCTTGTCAAACACCAGCCCTTTTGTAATGATAGATTGCTTTTACTTTGAAGTGCATATACTCTTTGAATGTAAATTGTGAACAATTTATTGTGTAGTAGCTATTATTGCAACTGTTGGAAATAAGTCTTAATATACAGGATAAATTGTGCTGTTATATGCAGTTTTGATAATGGCTTTTTTTATTATACTTTATATACAGTATTCTATACTGTATACAGGGTGATTAAAAAAAAAGTACTGGTAAAGGTACTGTATATGACTCCATGGACATATTAAAAATACCCCATCATATAACACACACTGTCATAGATTTGGTGAATGTGCAAAAATTTTTGGACACAACCTATCAGGGACCATTTACTACTGCAGAAACATGTACAGCATGAATTGATGTATTACTTGAATATTATGTAGATAAATTTAAATTAATATGTCACAAGCATGTTGTTGTAAATACATAATAATAATAATAATGATATACGAGTACCATATGGGATTTAGTAAATGTTCTATTCCTTATCGTAAGAGGTGGGAATAGGTGTGAATAAAAGATTGTTAAAGGAGGAAAATGAACGGAGGCAACTAGTGGGTAGTGTGGAGATAACTTAAGAGAGGGGAGGGGAGGGACTTATTGAGGCAATGTGGGGTGATTGGCTTAAGCTGGCAGATTACTTCCTCCCCTACAGTAGTCCAAGGTGGAACATCAGTGTTAAACCAAAGTTGGGTGAACACCTGTAACTAGTCAAGGAGGAGTATACATTTGGCAACTATGCAGATATGCACTTCACTGTAGGAGTAGCAGGGGGAAATGTAGTGGAACCAGTACTCAAAATATTACTCCAACTGTAGATTGCCATTTCATCCCTCGTTTTTTGCCCCTGATCGTCGGTTAAGAGAAACTGACACTTTTTTCCGCTTACATTAGACAGAAGGCACCCATACAACACTCACACATTTAACGTAGAGGAGCAAATACTGCACATTGTCAAAAAAAGAATCTCTCCGTAGGGTTATTGCATTCCTGCCTTATCTTTCATATATTATAACTCTGAAACTCTATGTTATTCACACTATGTTCATGAAGTCATATACAGTACCCTTATCTTTGTCTCATGAATACACCCTCAGAACTATGAAACTTTTCTTTGAATAAGTCTGTATATAAAGGGTATGTGTACTGTGTGTGTGTGTGTGTGCATGAGTACAGTAGTACGTATTTGTGTGCGTTCATTTGTATGTATTTATGTGCAGTACAGTTCAGTATTTGTGTATGCAAAGTATATGTGTGTGACTGTTCCTGTGTGTATATTTATGTATGGTAGAGTACAGGTATATGTATTTATGTAAGTATAGTACTGTTTATGTGTACATTACTTTACATGTGTGTGTGTCTCGTAAGAAAAATTTTGACATCGCTCTTACATACAGTATCTGTGATTTGTTAATGGAATGTAGATTTATAAATTGCTTGAATTACAGTGCTTAATAATACTAATAATAATCTGAAGATCAGTCATTTAGAGGAAATTAAACATTGTACAGCCTGATACAGTACTGAATATGATTTTTCCTTCAATCTTCAGTAGCCTTGAGTCATGATTTAGGTGTGAAATACAAGTTCAGATAATCATAGAATTGCACTGTACCATCTTTGGAATTGAATTAAAGAGAATGTGCAGCCATTCTTAATTGGGTCAAGGCTGATGTGTGTGTCCTGTATGTGGAATACATTTAATGATAATATTACATTTTTTTTAGTTCAGAATTCTAACCAAATGATTTTATTTTTATTCAGCCATACTCCTAGTATAATGCTGAGTGGCTGGATTCAAGGGAAACTCTCTTTTTCTCTTCCCCCCCCACATAGACACCAATGCATGCACAGACACATACACATGTGTGTGTGTGTGTGAGAGATTTGCCCTTGATTCCTGCCATTCATCATTATGCATTGTTTTTATCCCTTTCAATAGAATAACCACTGCTTTTTCATTTATCTTATTTTTTTTCCCAAAGCAAAAGAGTTTAGCCATTGTGGAGTTTTATGAATTAGTAAACCCTTTTTAACATGATAATTACCCTTACACATGGAGGCTGAGTAATTATACACTTGCTTTATGTGAGTGTGTGTGTCAGCTTGTTTGAGTTTGGCTGTGGACAAGATATCTCAAATGGATCTACCTGTTTGGATAAAACTTGGAATATCAGTTGGTTATTGTCCCTAATGGGCAGTCATGTCTGTGGAACCCACTTATTGGTCAAGAAGTGGATAAATCTTAGGATATGTATTGGTTTTTGGCTAAGAGTAAAGCAAAATATTTTTAAAAAGTATGGCCACAGATATGTCTCACTTGTACTGTTACTTTAGAATCTGTTGCATTCACAAAAATTGGACACTAGAAAGGGGTCCATTGCAGAATATTATGAGGTATATTAGGTAGAAGAATGAAATTTGAAGGATGGAAAGAAGTAAAAGATGAAAACTGTTGTAGGCAGACGATTATATGTTGGGTAAATTTGCAATAAAACTACTGGACATCTAAGAAAACTTTAGGTAATGTAGAAAGGAGATGCTTATGAATGTCAGGTTGGTTGTATTCCTACAGGTTGAATTAAATTTGTTGAGTAAGTATGAATGGAGTGAGGAAGAAAAATAGATGTGTGAGGGAGGAATATAGATATAAGAGGGAGGTACAAAAATGAAAGGTCTGGTTAAAAATCTCCAACCAATAATAGGATATATTAATGTGTCACTGAGGAGGAGAAATTCTATATAAGTGCTTAAGTAGGATAGGATATGATTTTGTAATGATTACTTTTATATATTTCCATATGTATTGATGGGGTTCATCTCTTGAATTCAGGCAAGTGAACAGCAATCTGGGTTGGAAGGTAGCGTGCAAGAAGCTCAAGCATGGGAAAGAGAGTACGTCAGTGTCCTGGATTATCTTGCACAGTCTGATTTAATCCTCACTCAGGCCATCAATGATGAGATACAGGTTGATCAAGTCCAGGTGAGAAAAAATGTTATAAAGAAAAATATTATTGGTTCATATTACAGTACGGAACATACAGTATATTATGATTAAGTTAGTTAATTATTTAATTATTTAATTTTTTGTCTTTTGATATTCTGATTAGCAGTATGTAATGTGATATTATAAGATTACATGAGCGTTTATTGTAATCACTACTTTTTAGCGGTTCATTTTATTTATCCTATCAAGGGGGTGGTATAACCCACTAGGTGATGAATGCTCAACATTAGATCAACACCTGTTGGGCCATCTTGCACTATAGCAAGAAAAGGCTTGTATGATTAATTTTTTTTAATGATGCATAAACTGATCTGTGATCTTTTTATTTTATAACTTTTCTCACACTTTAGGGAAACGATGTACTTTACTGTACCTGTATTATTGATTATCTTCTTCATTTATCAATGATGTCAACATTTTGTCCCTTAAATTATCTGAAAGATGATATATTTTCCTCCTTTTGTATAAGGATTAATATTGATGTTGTTCATGCTGTATCTAGGTAAGGAAGTAGATTTATAAAGTCAAATCTATCTTTACAGGTTGAAGCAGAGATGATGACACAACAAAATGTGCTTCAGAAGATGCAGGCCCAAGTGGAGGTATACCACGGTCAGGGCAAGACGGAAGCTGCTTTAAGATTGGAAGATCAAGTTTCTCACTTACAGGTCTGCTTTTTTTTTTATTAATACTATAAACTGAATACCGTACAGTATTACATTTCAAAGAAATATATAATGATCTCTTTCAAAATAAGGATGATCTTTCTTTTAAAATTTCATGCTAAATTGCAAAGTGGCTTAAATAGAGAAAATACACTCACATACTCTCTCCCTTCATTCACTGTCATTCAGTTTTACTGCCTTTATAGATGTGTACTGCTGTGTTATTCTCCTTCCACAACAAAGCCCGAAATAAAAATTTCTGCCAACAGGTGCTACACTCCCACCACATTTAAGTTAATCAAGTAATTCCACTTTTTGTAACAGCAATATAACTTTCTTTGCCCCTCTTTGGAGTAGCATCACTCACATCACCAGATTTATGCTTTGAGGCCATATTTAGGGGGGGGGGGATGAAGTCACAGGGAAGTTCATGGGAAAAAAGTTTCTTATCTTTCAATCCTGTTCCAATATGTTAGAAATCTCCCATGGTAGCTGTGGAAACCTGTGGATACTTAGAACTGGATGCTGTGATTGATAAATACTGTACCATACAATATGTAAAACATGGATACACAAAACCACAGATAGAAAACTTGCCATTGGTGAGGGATTATTGTATGCACCTCTTTTCTCACCTGTGAATGTTATCCTAACTTAACAATAAAATATATGTCATCTGCTCCTTCAGAAAAAATATGAAGAAATTGAATTGAAGCTGCGTGCATGTCAGAAGCCGAGTGACTTTGATACCCGCTTGAATCAGGTGAACTATCAGCTGACAGGAATTAGTCAACAAGTACATTTGGTCAGTGTGGATTCAGGGAACCCAGATGGAATTCAGGAGCAACTAAATCAGTGCATGGTGAGTTGTAGACGGTTATTGACCCTTTTAAGATTGTAAATCAGTTTATGGCATGATTCAGAAAGCTGATAAGTTTAGCTTCTCTTTTTGGTTTTAAGAATGTTTTTGTATGGTTTGATTTTCAGAAATTAATTTAAGTTTTTATTTCAATTATTATTATTACATTATTATAATTATTTTTATTTATTATTATTATTATTATTATTATTATTATTATTATTATTATTATTATTATTATTATTATTGTTATTATTATTATTATTATTATTATTATTATAATCATCAATAGTATTTTTCCTTTGTAAAGTATATTTTTTAGACAAAATAATTTTATATCTTTCCAGGATTTGTATCAAACACTTAGTGAAGTAAAAGCAGAGGTGGAAAGCGTGATAGCAACAGGCCGTAAGATAGTTAAAGAAGGGCAATCTGCAGATCCAGATGGTCTCACTCTTCAGCTAGACCAGTTGAAAGCACTTTATAATAAAGTTGGTGATCCAGATACTCACTTTTGTGTGTGGAATTGTTTAATGAATAATTTAAATTACTGCACTTAAAATTTGAGATAATAGAACTGGCTTATAACTAATATGTGGATTGAAAAAGCATAGTTATCAGTATTTAGCCTGTTAGTGGTATTTACAGACTCATCTCATCATCTTATTTCCTAGTGTGTGTGTAGATGGGAGTTCAGCAAAAAATATCCCATGTATAGTTCCTTTATTGAACATTTCTCTCTACCTAACTGCAAATATTAACATCCTTCAGAGAAAGCTCCATTAGTTTGGTATTGGTTCCTTCTTCTTCACTCAAATATTTTCCAGGCTGTTCTTTCAATAGCTGTTATTATCTTGTCAAGGTAGATGCTTGAAATTATGGCAGCTACTTACAGTTACTCTGGTTTTGGGTGATACAGGGGCCCCCCAAGTTCACGGATTTTTATTTCGCAGTCCTTTATTATTCGCGGATGAAACTTCCGCGGCTGGGACAAAGAGCCATTCGTTCTAGATACAGTAATTTCCTTAACCTGTATTGTAAATATGTGTGCGTGTGTAGACACACACACACACACACACACACACACACACACACACACACACACAAAACACATACAAATAAATAATAATGGGAAAATACTGTCACCAATAATCAGAAACAAATTTATTAAAAATGTGACAGTGTACCCTCAAGTCCGTGCCTTATTACTTTATTAATAAAGCACGGACTTGAGGGTAAACTCACATTTTTAATAAATTTGTTTCGGATTATTGGTGACAGTATTTTCCCATTATTATTTATTTGTATGTGTTTTGTGTGTGTGTGTGTGTGTGTGTGTGTGTGTGTGTCTACACATGCACACACATACTGTGTATACAATACAGGTAAAAGAAATAATTGTCCTAAGGACAAACACATAAAGGAAATATACATTTCTTTGTACACAAGTAAAATTGTCCCCCCCCCCACCCCGATCCGCAAATGTTATTCGCGGATTTGGCGATTCATGACCATTTTGAGAACCTAACCTCCGTGAATTTGGGGGGGCCCCCTGTACTGTACTTTTGTATTGTGGATAGTGGACTGGCAGATAGTTGAGTCAAGTGTACGTATATGATAATTGCATTACATATTTTGAAAAAAAACATCTGCAATCAATACTTTTTTTCACAATGGATTTGAGTTTAGAATTATGTTGAGTATATTTTTTTATTATCCAGCAGGGTGACAAGTGCATGTTCCCATAGAATTTGCACCATTACACAACTTTGCCAAGTACCACTCCATTCATTCACACACCAATCCACCTTTACCTTCCATCTCATTTTTGGGTTTCCTCTTATCATCCTTCCTTTTACTTCTCTCAACTTATTTATACCACTGAAGCATTCAATTTTCTATTTTTTTAACTTTTTCTGTGCACTCCAAACTCGTTCTTAAAAAACTTTTTCCCGATAACAATATAGTAGCATTCTACCTGTCATTCTCACTTTATACAGTACACTTTTGTTTCACTCTTGGATGTTAAGGTAGACTGATATCAGCTCACTTTAACCTCTGCCCAGCCTTGTGATACACTAAAACCATATCTCTTAACCATATTACATTGACTTACCATTTTTAAAACCAATGTCTTGTTTTAGTATTGTTGCTGAATTTCTTCTGCTAATTCATTCACTGAAATTCCTACTCACTGCCTCTTAGTTTTGCTGTCTAATCCATAAAAAACCTGGAACAAAGTTGATGAAGATGAGCTGTAGAATACTTGTACAGTACTGCATATCAAGAGCATGTGAAATGAGAGGGAGGCTGTTGGAAAGAGTGAAGGGTTAATATACAGAGTAGGGCTTGTGTTGGAGCAAGTAGAAGCATGAGTGAATAGCATGGGTGAGACAAGACTGTGTGCTGTGACAGTACTTGTTAATGGACTGGTGAGGGAGGTTTTTAGTAGTAATTTATGTAACTGAATAAGTTTAGGACAAGTTAGAAGAGAATAGGAGACAGATGCCATATGTCAAAGAAATGAGTTACAAAATATAGAACTCTCCCTCCTTTCTGTTTTATGTCCAGTACACTTTTTCTCACTTGACGGGAAAGAAGCTTATGGACAATCTATGAGCAACTCCTGGGTCGTAAATTGATTTTTCAACTTTTTTCAAATGCAACTGCAGTATATATTAACAATTTCCTAATTATAGCTATTATTTTTTACCTGATGGAAAGATTCTTATAGAATTATTCTGGCATTCACATTGAATGTGGACTAAAATTGCATGTTTTTCTCCTTTTAATTGCAGGTTATTTATTCTTCTTTATGCAAGCCTATTTGAACTCTTTATATATTCTGGGTGTTACCCTTTGCCATTGATACAAAATGTGTTCTCTTTTCCCACCTTGCCAAATGGGTGAGATGTATAATTGGATTTAGATAAATTAATATGCAAATGAAATTCCATGAGTTTTACCAAATTCTGATGTATGTTTTATATCTACAGCTGGGTGGTACAGTAACTGAACATCGTGGGATTCTTGAAAGGGCGCTTCGCCATAGTCGTAAGATTCAGAAAGACTCAAGTCACTTGGAGGAATGGCTGAGCACCACAGAATGTGAATTGGACCAACGAGAGGCAACTGTTCCTACAAAAAATGTTGAAGGGGAAGTTCATTTTGCTCAGGTTTGTAACATATGTTTTGTGTTGATTGGTTGAAAGATAATATGATTGTCTTCAAGATTGCAGCATGATTTTTTTATGACCATAATCTCCAAGAATACTGTATATATGTCCAGTTTCCATTGTAGTAGTATTGTAGTATCATATTTACATATATTTAAATAATTTTCCACTGATTGGTTAGCTTTAGAAAGGACAGGAAAACCTCTCAAATATGCTTACCCTTGGGACTGACAGTGTGACAAATTTGATAACTATGTGACCTATCAAAGGATTAAAACAAGGTTCATTGCATCGTGGGACCATGAACCAAAAATACCTGATACTGTACTGTATATAAAACACTTGTACAGTATAATGATCTAGTGATCATAAACCAAAATTATAATGTACATCAAAGACTTTGATATAAACAAGGTATCAATAATTTTGAGAGCCCAAATTAAACATGCATAACAAAATTAGTGTGTCAGCTGTAATACTGTATAATCTGTACTTACAATCCAAATAGTTGCTGCATGTCCATAAGTGATGATTTTCAATGAAATTTGGTCAAATCTTGGCTGTACATTTTGGTACACTTAATGAGGTTAATAGACAACATATCTAAATTTAGTCTTTTTACAAAAGTTTTGTCACTGTATATTATCACCATCTCATGTACAGTACCAGAACAGAATGCATCTATTGTTTACTGTAGGCTACTCGAAAACAAATGTGCTTGTATATACTATATATCCATAATTAATATAAATGATGGAAACAAATTACCTGTACACTGTACTGTCAGTAATTTTTTCCATGATACAGTATTTGACATTTAATTTTATTGGAAAATGTGACTATTCTTGGTAAAATGGCAGTTAAGTCTGTAAGTGACGTCAGATTATACTAAGCCATTTTGCAAAGTGTTGATTGGCAGACCTGAGGGGTTTTACTCACGATTAATAGAAGTATGATGAAATTTGTATATTGCTTGTAGAAATTTATCATCAAAACTGTACAAATTGTTTAGCCTAAATACTGTAATGTCATTCATTTAATTTTGTGAACGTACATTAGTTATTATTATTATTTAAATTTAATGAGAATGCTTTCTGTTTCAATTGTTATCCCTTGTATCACACTAGTGATTCCTTGTCCATACACAGCATTAATAACTCTAAGTTTACATTCTTTTCTAAGAATTTACTAACTCATTAAAACATTTTCAAACATTTAATGCACTGAGCTAACATCTAGTGAAACAATTATCCTGGCTGTCAAGAGTTAACCCAGAGTCAGGATTAACAGTCTCCAGGAGTGTACATACCCATCCTTTACAGCATGCCATTGATGATTTGGGGCGCAAGAAGCCCTTGCTGACAGGCCTGCACGAGTCCTATGCTGCTCTTACTTCTATGTCTGATGACCCTGCCTTGCTACAGCCCATTAAAGAGCAGGTGGATGACATTACTCTTACATGGGAGCGAGTCAGTATTAGGCTTGCCAACAGGCTTAAGAACATGCAGGTTTGTTTCTTCTTTATTGATGATGGATAACTGGATAAAGAGAGGAAAAGTGTGTTTGCAAGAGAAGAATTGATATGAATGATTGTTTGGAAAGTTGTTGTAGATATATGGAGAGTGTTATATAAGGGAATTTTATGTTAAAGGAAATTATGATTGGACAGTAGAATGTTGGAGGGGTTAGGTATGCCTTTGTAAGAGAGAGAGTGTGAGTTGGGAACTTAGCTGGTAAGATCAAGGATTATGTAGTAGTGATAAAAGGTGTGTATGAAATTGGAGGAGCAAATGGAAATGGATGTCTCATTGTTGAATTGCCATAGTAAACTAATTAATTCAGCTGTGGAATATTAACACTGTTATTCTCTTATATCACCTGACAGCAGCTGGGAGTAAATAGACTCATTTGATGTTTTGTCATATTTGTTCTTGTAAAGGTAAATATTACTGTTTATCCTTTTAAATTAGAAATCGAAGATGGTTAATATATATTATAGATAGAATGGGATTTAGTGTATATAAGAAAGTTTGTATAATGTTACTGCGATAAGTAAACCAAGTGAATGGTTATGGGCTCAATTTCTGAAAAGATCAGAGGAGTGGTTCTCTCCTTGTGCTGTAACACTGAGCTCCTGTGCACTGTTGGACCGTACATTAAACCTTCACAACTTTGGTCTTCACTGTTTCTTAGTCCAGTTTATTTTGGACGTTTTGGGGCATTGGATAAATAGTGTGATTTTGGGAGAAAGTCCAAAATCTCACAAGTGTACACAATTATGGAGGCCCAATGATGATATCTTTGATGAGTTTGTTCCATCAGTACAGTGTCCTTATGTTGTATTTACACAGCAAAATTTTGTGCTATTCAGTGTACAGTATATTTGTAGTTTTTTTTAATTTTAATTATTGTAGCAATGGCCTCTGGTGGTAGTTCTGTGCATGGTTATAGCAGGAAGCATCGCAGAAATGTTATTATTTATATGAACATTTTATTTTATTAAATTTTGTATTATATTTTGGTCGTAAATATGAATGAAATAAGGACGTAAATTGAATTGGGTCCTAAATTAACTAGGGTCTTAAATATGAAAAGTTGTTGGTCGAGCCGTTGTTATTGGAGGCTTTACTGTACATATCAGTAAAACTACATTATGCAAAAGTTAACATTTTAAAAGAAAAGAATCACATTGAAATATTACACTTCCGTCAGCAGAGGCGGGAAATATGAATTTGTTTGCAGAATAATGCAGGTTTTTTACAATCACAATGCTTAATTATTTCATTAACTTACTTGATTACTCTGACACTCTCAATTTTATGAAATCTACAAATTAACATTCAAAATGTCATTATTCTCCTACAATCACCATTTAATTTACTTCTTGTTCATGTGAAGACAAGTGACTCGTCACTCATGCCACTGCACACTGTTGCTGAGCCAGTTACCTGATTATTTAATTTCTTTTCCTTCTTTTTCTTCTTCATCTTATCCTCCTCTTCCTTCAACCCCACTTAGCACAAGTAAAAATGCCCCCCCCCCTTCTGTCAGCAAATGTTATTCGCTGATTTGGCGATTCGCGGCCATTATGAGAACCGAACGCCCGTGAATTTGGGGGACCCCCTGTTTATATTTTATTTGTATCATTTGTCGAGACTGTGGAGAACAGGGCATTGACTGTCTACTTATGCAAAGGGTGGCCATGATAAGAAAATCCATAGTTAAGTTCCAGAGGGAGATCCTCTCCAATTTGGGAACATTAATATTTTTGGACACACCTTTCCTTGGTTAGTCCAAAATTGTGATGGTTTACTGCATTAAAATTCTTACAACATGGATTTGTAATTTCCTGTAGGTTTTTATTAATTTAAACTTGCAGACTGAACAGGTTGCCAAAGAAGCTGAAATGGAAAGATTTATCATTGGCCTTGGTGAGGTCAAAGGATGGCTGGAGAGCACGGAATACCAACTTCTCAACATCAGCAGGCTTGACCCCAGTGACCAAGACCAACTAATCAAGGTTAGCAATGGAATATATGTATGATATGAAACTGAATTTTAATGCCTCCTGCTTGGCTCAGGTGATTTGTGTATAGATAGAAGGTGTCTGTGCCTTCTGTCATATCTAGGTCTCTGAAAGAGGTCTGATAGAGACTAAAGCTATCACTTCAGGCTGGAGGCAGTGAATGTAGCTGTCACAATAGTACTAGTCCATTTTACAACTTACAGTTTCAGTTCCATTCATAAGTAATTTTATTCTTGTTGGTATCATAAGTGCTTCCAAACAATATTTTCAGGCACTTGTCCCAGAGTTTTACAATTGCCAAACAGTCGTATGTGATATTATTGACACATTTGTTGGTGGGTTTCTTTAGGGAAGCCAACCCCGTACAGTCAAAGTTTTCCAAATTAATACACAAAGTTAATTAAAAGTTGGGATATTAAAGTGTGGAGAGTAACCATATGAGCTGAGCTTCTTCCAAGTTACTTCCTGTTTCATGTGGATTGACTGTAAACTCAGATCACTTGGAGTTTATTGTCTTTAATAAATTCAAGTGATACAAGGGAAGTTTCCTCATCTTTTGGTTCCAGAGAGTACGGTATGTATTTTCCTTTGGGAGTTTATTTTCTTCACAAGTACTGTACATGTTTATCCTCTGGGTATGACTACTTGTGTGGGAGGAATAATATGTTAAATTTCTGCTATTGTAACTTTTATTTCATCCTTGGTTAGCCTCTTTGGGAGTCATATGTACTTAGTGATGTCTTTGATGATGTCCAGTGCACCCATGATTTTATTATAATTCACCAAAGCTGTAGATATTTGGACTGTTATTTTTATCTTAGTTGTAACACTCCAGAATCTGCTGTTAAAGTGTTGACAAGAATACAGATTGTTTTGCTTGATTTATGAAGGAGACACATAGGAGGGGTCCTTTCTGGCATTCTCTTGACATTTTTACTTTACAACTTAACTTTCGCCTGCTGCATTGGTAAGTAACCTGTGTGTTTTTACTAAACTGTACTGTACTATAATGCACTTTTTCTGAGCTGAGAAAAATGCACTATAGTAATGGTTTTATCTTTAACAAAGAGGTCCATGAAGAGTTTTTGATTGAAAAGTAATAGTCCAGCCCCAAATTATGACCATGGTGTAAAGGGTCACTTTGCTCAAGCAATCCTTTATAATACTATAGGTAGCCACATGTATCATGATTAACAACCTTGAAGTTTTCTGATGTAGTGTGTAACCAGTTTCCATGTCACACAAGCAGCAGATCTGGTATGATGATTGCTAAGTGTATTTTGTCTGATGATTGGTCCTCCCTTTGATGCTTCATACACATGTAGCATGTCTACCCTCAAAAGTTCATTAGGTTTAGTGCCAGGGCAGTTATCTTGGATAATAGGCCCCACTTCTGTATAGGATGAAAGACTTACATACGTAAACTGTGTATATATATATATATATATATATATATATATATATATATATATATATATATATATATATATATATATATATATATATATATATATATATATATATATATATATATATATATATATATATATATATATATATATATATATATATATATATATAATGACTTCATTACAGAGTGTGTCTTCAGAAATACAAAGCTACAAAGGCCAGATTGAAAATATTCGTGACACAGCTGTAGACCTGATTAACCATGGAGTGTTATTCCAAGCTCGGATTCAACCTGAGTTAGTACTCATTAACCAGAGGTGGGAAAATATCTACAGGACTGTGCAGGTAAGACTTAACAGTTTATGCATCAAGTGTTCTGAAGGGAAGGAGTATGTGATTGCCATATTTAAGTAATGATGTATTGCTCATTTTTTTGAATCATGAAATGGTTTTCACTTTTTATTAAATTACACATGTTCTCCTTCTTGTCAAGTATTACATACTTCATTTTCAACTTATTCAGCTTGTGTCTTTGAATGTATATTGTATGCTCTATTTTTGGATATGTCAAGTTCAGTCACTAAAGTGGATTCAGAATATAATTAATGTTTTCCAAATTTATTGTTGCTCTTTAATGAACTTCTCTGCTGCACGATTTATTTAGCCAGTGTATGTTGCAGATGGTTAGTTACCTGACTAGTTTGGCAAAGTACTGTACCAGAAGCTGCTGCTATTGTGATATCATGTGTCGGTGTTTTTATGCTACAAAGCGTGTGCATGTTGCATGTATTGCTTGGGAGGCTTAAGCACTGTTGGGTACTTCTTTGAATGTGTGACACTTTTCTCTGAAATACGTACTTTTATGTGAATATCCTCATTAAATTTTTAAATTATTAAAAGATTACTGTTAGCTATTCATGAATATTAATGATTATTTCCTTTTCGTCTTCAAGTATTTTGAATTAATTATTCTGCTGTATCGAAATCTAACAAGACTAATACCTTGTCATATTTTCATTACCATTATATCTTGACTTGTTTACCAAGGAATTCAACCTTTATCCTTTGATTGTTGTCGAGTGGTCCTTTGTGTATCGTCACTTACCTTCTTTCATTTCTTTTAATTTTTATTTCTCTTCAAGGATATTCTGTGTTTTGGGGATAATGTGGCTTCATATGGGTAATATGATTTTCTTTCCCCATGTTCTTTGAAAATGTTTTTGGGTAATACATATTACATTGAGCATTAGATACAGAAATTAGTTTTGAGCATTAGATTCAGAAATTAGTTTTGAGCATGAGATACACAAATTAGTTTTGAAATTAGTGTGATGCCATAAGATTCACATTAGTTAAGATTATGAAGTATGTTTCCCATTGTCATATATCTGTTAAATGTGTGTGATGATTCCAAATTGATTGTCCAAAGTACCTCACCTGACCACGCTACTTACCGATCAGTAGCTTTAGTCTCATAGTGCAACCACTTAGGAATGTAACAGTTAATATTGTTGCTTGTCCTAGGATAGTTTTGTGGACCTACAGTACAGTATGTGAGCTTTAAGACTAGTGCTCTTGTGTATATATGTGGAGTTTGTGGTGAGATGTGATTAGGGAGTTACTCACTCTGTCATTTATTCATTCCTTTACCACTCCTATTGGTATCTTCCTAACAATTTCTTTATGGCTCTATCAACACTACATGCGGTGTCTGGTCTGTTAACCTTACTGCTTCTGCTGGACTAGAATTTACGGCAGCAGCTTGATCTCACCATACTTTTCCAACTGGTGGTAGAAATTAAATCTTAGAAAGTCAGCGGAGTTCAGAGTTTGTCTGGTTTTAATACTGGTGAGCAAGATCCAATGTATATCTTTTCAGCATTGCCACATGGACACACAAGGCACAGGCATCTCCTCTGTAGGCTTTCTCTTGACCTCAGAAGCACAGGGATCACAGCTCTCAGCAGTCCACACCAACACCACCTCTACTCTTTCTACCATCACTGCTTCTGTTAGTGAAACTTCTAATACTACCAGTCTAACCCACGACTCTTCACAACATAATCAGACTACTGGAATAAATCCAGTATTTAGCAAATCACAAGTTCCAGCTACTCAGCAGTGTCCTGAATTAGAGGCAGGACAGTTTCCTTTGCAAGATGACCCTACTGTCATGGAAACAGAAGTAGACACTTGTGAAAACAGCATCCAAGAGGGAAAAGTTGTGTTAAGGAGCACAGGTTTGGTGCACAGTATCATGACCACTACCAGTACCGTCACCACCACTACCTCTAAGTTAATATCTGCAGAGAATGTTGGTGCCACAGAGGTAGTGTCATCAGGTAAAGTAAATTTATGTGCAGAAAAGTCACAGTCTCAAATAATGGCTCAAGATGAGGAAATGAACAATGAAGCAGAAACAGCAGAGGATGCTGAAGTACCTGAAATGTATTCATCAGCTGACAGTAACACTTGGGGAGATTCTTCTCTTATTGATAGTGTTGTGAGGGTTGAACCTAAAGGACCTTCAAGTCCTGGAGAAGATGAACACGCAGTAAATTTGATCACCACCACCGCTAATGAGGAAGTGAATCATCCAAGTACTGAAAAGGAGGAATACATGGATGAGAAGAATATTGGTCACCTCTCATTTGATCGGGAGATAGTTGAAGAGTCGGCAAATACTACCATGAAAGATCAACCCAAAAAGCTCAGTCTTGTTGAAGTTGAGGAAGTGAAAATGACAATATCACACCTTTCTTTCAACATCCCTGGTAAAACCACTGAAAGAAAAATACTCAGTTTGAGAGAGACTGATATGATGTCATGTAGTGCAGTAGGTGATACATCAATTGAATTTTCATCAGAAGATGTATCTCCAATAGCTGAATTTCCTTCAGATAGTGTCAATTTAAGTGACTTGGCTCTAAGTGATTCACCAACAAAAGACCGAAAGAGAAAAATAACTGAAACTGAATCAGATCTAGATAATTTTGATGAACTTATTGCAGGTTTAAAAGAAGTAGCAGAAAAGGATATTGATTTGACTGGAATTGAAGGTAGTCGAAGACAGGCTACTGTTAAAGATGTTGAATTACAACAGAGTGGAGATGAGAGATTTTCACTTGTCAAGATTAGGAGATGTGACGATGATGATTTGGAATCCTTAGCATCCATAGACACTGACATGGCTCCTGCCTCAGAAGCTAGCAGAGATTTTGAAGGAACCTTTTCTGACCTTGAATCTGTCTCTGAGAGTGTTTCTTCAAAAGGAGATAGTTTGTTCTCCCCAAATCAGGGTGCTGGTTCCTTAGATTGTTCTCGGACTGAGGAAGTGCGTACTGTTGAGTATATATCACAACAAAGTCAGATTGTTTCTAGTGAGGCAGTCAGCCATACATACATTAAAACTTCCCATGAACTGATCTCTCCAACCAAAAAGGAAATAGATTCAAATAATATCATTAATTTCACTGCTAGTGAAGTTTTAAGCTATGATGAACAAATAGATGATGGGAAAGATGATACTGAGCTTTTAAAACAAGAAGAAACAAACCAACCTGAACAATCTTCTGGAGAAGTTACAAGTCATCCAATGGATTATGAACAGTTGCCTGTGGAGAAACTTCAAGCTATGATTGCTGAGCTGGAGGAGGTAATGAGTGATGCAGAAATAAGTGATACAGAAGATGAAGTTGAGATGGCAGAGAAAGAAAATGTTAGCATACCTGTAGATGAACTAAATACATTCGAAACTAATCAGTCATATGAAACTAAAAGTACGGAGGATGAAGTTATGACTCCTGTTGTAGTTAATGTTACAAAGCAGAGCAAAATTTCAAATGAAGATACAGAAGAGAAGGCACTGCCTATTGAATTCACTGTACAAGAGGTGCATGTTGCTGGTGATATTGAGTTTGCCAAAGCTAAGAGTTCAGTTGAGAAGAGAGAACCTGTTGCCATTGAGACTCCAAGAATTGTGGTAACAACACCTTCTCTTCATGAGGATATGGTTCAGAATGTTCCAAATATTTTACCAGAGCAACAACAGGGAGTCACTCAAGTGACAACAAGTCAGAATTCATATACAACAGTGCAGAAGGTGTCAGTGCAGAGTTCTCAGGTGGTGCATGGGATGACTCTTGTAACTTCCACAGAAGATAGACTCCCAGAACAAGAGGAAGCTGTATTGGTCACTTTAATCTCCAGACCAAGCTCTGTGGAGGCTCTAACCACAGATTCAGAGTCTACTGGAAATAAAGTTATTATGGAAGAGGTAGAAGTGAATTGTGATCCAGATATGAAATCCTCATTTAGAGAGGAAAAGAAAGATGCAAAGGAGATAGTAGAAGAAACTGAACCATCTTCAGTTAAATTCAGCTCAGGTGACTCTTCAGAGGATGAGGAATCTAGCAAGGAGAGACGTCCAACAGTTGTTGAATGCTCAAACATCTCTGTATCTTTGGTGGAGGAAAATGCTGAAGAAATAAAAAAGGTAAGTTGTATGTATGGGTCATGAGTGTCATGTCACAGATGAGCTTATAGGTGGTTATGTGTTTTTTAATCCTAACATGGTGGTCACATTATTCTCCAAAATCAGAATATCCTTCTCTGGTGAAAGGGGGCCCCACTTGGCCAAAACTGCTATCGCTATAATAATTGTATTCTGTTGCCAAACCCCTCTCGTCCTTGGTTAATTTATTTAGTCTGTGACATCCTTTTGGATGCTGTAAGACCCTTCCACTCTGCTTTCAGGTAACTTCAGCATGTGAAATAGACAGCTCTTCACTAGACTCTGTCACTAGGTCTTCTACAGGGCAGACTTCAGTTTTTCCTACTGTTTCACATGTCTCTTCTGACCATGTCAGTACTTGCCAGTACTCTGTTGAAAGCACAAAAAATTTACAAACTTATGGAAATTCTGGAGCATTTAGTGATTCAGTACCAGCTGTAACTCATATAGCAAGTGGATTGACATCATCGATGTTAGATTTCTTTGCAAGACACAGTGTTGTAATTGTAGACCCAGAAGCAGAAGGAAGTAAAACTCTCAACCAGCAAGCTATTGGTCCCTCAGGTGTACACAAGACTGATGTAAATATTAATAGAGGAGTTGATGCTATGGGAATTAGTACGTTTGAAGAACCTGTTCAGACACCCTCTCCCTTTACTTGTCCGAGTTCAGAAATTTTACAGGGCAGGAGTGCTGTTGTGTCAACAGTGGAAGAATTTTCAGTGTCAGTAACTTCAGCTAGTTCTCTCATGTCAAAAGAAACTAGTACATCTGATCATCAACACATTGCATTGAATGATGATCAATTAAGGAATGTTAATGAAGCCCAGAC